TCTAAAGCAACTAGCATAGGGCCTCTAGTATTCAATGCTCAATAACCATGTGTTGATTCTGCCTTATCTGAAATTCTCAGTGGGTACCGGAACTTTCCCCAATCCCAGAGATGCATCTGACCCACAACCACCAGGGCATCAGGCCAAGAGACCATACCTTCCCCAAGTAAAATGCAAATCTGTGGTCCTCTTGACACAAGGCTGGGAGGAAGGATGAAGGATGAAGGCTGTGACATGAGCGCCTGGTGGGGCAGGAGGAATTTGTGATCAGTTCCAAGGGAAGGCAATGGGGATGTGAGAGAGGCCCTTCTGTGCCAGCTACGACATCAGGGATTTTGTACGGATTATTTTGCAAGTGTGTGTTGGGGGTGGGACTCCCCATCCAATCTAATCTCAACAACTCCAGGTGAATGTTTGTGGTGAGGTCAAAAGACACACAAAATTGCAATGTCCCAGAGCCCCTGAAGAGAGCTAAGCCTTGGCCTTTGGGCACCAAAGCATGTCTATTTCTGAGGATGTGTGGCAGGACCATTCATTCCAAAAAGAAATGAAGATTTATGTTGCAGTTGAGAATAAGTGGTAAATTAGCAATAAGTCAACTTTTGATCCAACATCCCCTGCAGACAGGGCATTGATACTAGGAAAGATTAGACTAAACTGGGAGTTAATTTAAACTTGTCTCTGTGTGTCACATGTCCGTGCTGAAATGGGTATTGTTCTTTTCTTGACTGGTTAACTCCAGTGTTGAATGCAGCCTCAAGGGCGTGACTATGAGGAACAGAAGGAAGATATTGGTCTTCATTTCTCAGAGATCCTAGGCATGGATTGCAGCCCACACTTTACCTATGATGAATGTGACCTTGGGCAAATTATTTCTTTGAACATGCGATAGCCTCTGTAAAATGAGGACTGTGACATCTGACAGGGTTGTTTTAAGGCTCAATTTAGATAACACAATTTAAATACCGAGCAGAGGAACCGCCATTTACTGGACACTCAGTTGATATTAGTTCCCTGACACAGAATACAGAATGAAGAACACTTGGCAGGGATTTAGTGTTTGATGATGATGGTCATGATAATGGCAGCATTACTGTGGGTGTTCAGAAACGAAGACAAACATGGGACTCTATTGCCTCCAGAACTTGGCAGGGAGTTGAGTGCTAGAAGTGGAAATGGGGGTGGCTGTAGCTTTGCTGATTCATGCTACCAGAAAGGCCCTGAATACCAGTTCCATACGGCATGCAGGACACCACGTTGTACAAGGATACAGATTCACGGTTCTGCTTGGTCACTCAGCTCAGTCTTCTCCATCTCAGGTTCCCAGGGCCCACTGCCAATTTGTCTCCTTTCCTCTTACGAAACTTTTGGAGTCTGGCAGAAATTGATTCCCAGATTCAGTTTTTCTGGTCAGAAATAAGCAAGCATGAGAAATAACTGAAATCCACACGATTCCACCTTTTGGATCCATTGGAATTTAGAGCAAGTTTTCTAAGGCACTGGGCTGTCTCGTGGTCAAGTTGAACGACTCCCATCACCCCAGCAGCCTGTCACCCTCTTCCTTTCCTTTTTTTCCTTTCTAACCACATTCTTCTTCAGCTTCTCTTTCTCCTGGATCTGCTCATTTCTCTCTCATTTAGTCTTGCTCAAAATTGCTGTGTCAAAGATTCTTTTTCCTGATGTCCCTCTCAGACGAATAGCGGGATGTCAGCCCTAGATGGGCCATAAATAATGCATAATACCCAGGAACAGCCAGAGCAGCCCTCTGATTACAAAGAGAAGATCTTTTGATAACATATTATCCTATTTACTCTTTGTAATGCCACGCGTTCTTCATTCAGCAACGATGTGCACCTACGTGCTCACCAATTTGAAACCCCAGCAAAAAAACGGTGTTCCTGCTGCTGTCTGATCCCAGCTCCACCACCAGGAGAGCCTGTCAGACATCCTCTTCCGATGCCTATGCTGCCATCCCAGGGCCCCTGGAAACCTGCCAGAAGGGTGGTCAGTCTTTTTTCAGTTCAAAGCATATCTTTCTTTATTTCAAATTCTTGTTATAGCCTTCGTGTTTTGATTCTTGCCAAACTCTGGAGATGGTAAAGACCTCTAACTCAGCCCCCTTACTTATATAAATATAGTGCCTAATAAGTTCTATATTCAGGACCCAGGGCTTCATGAATGCTGGATGCCCCAAACGTAACCCTGTAAAGTAGGTTGTTATTATTTCCAGTTTCAGTAAAGGAAATTATGATTCAGATAAGCTAATTGATTGGTTCAAGGTTACCAAGCTGATAAACTAGAAACCCCCAACTGAAATCCAGTAGCCATGACTTCCTGTTCCATTATCATTCTTTGTTTCTACTGGTTAGGATTCAGAATTTAGAGACAAGGATAGGTGAGTATATTAGCCACGGTAACAGTAGAAAACAGAATTCCATTTCATTCAAGTGAAGATATGGTATTGAGGATACAATTTACAGAGGTTACAGGTAGGGTAAAGAAAGAACACCTAAAAGGAATGTGGAGGCACTCAGTGGCTTGCAAACAAGAAAGCCCCTGCCACATCTAGGTGTAAAGAAAAAGGGGGAAGAGATAATGTTTTGGAGCCGAGGGGAGGGCTGGAGCCATGGAGGAAGGTCTGCCTGCTTGATCTCTGGAAGGCTCAAACACTGCCAGGCACAGCCCTGGAGCAGGGACGGAATGGGGAAGAGGACCACTTTCTTTGTCAGGTATTTGCCAGGTTCAACTAGAACCAGCCAGCAAGGGAGAAGGTGATAGAGTTGGTGGGGTCTACATTCCCTGGCACAGAGCAGAGCCTGTGCTCTGGTCCTTCTTCACAGGGCTGCAACCGAAAAAGCCACTGCCTTCCTATCCAGACTCTATACCTACAGGGGGATTCACCATGAAGCCAAGAAAACTCAAGCTTCAGGGGCTTTCCACATTATGTCTTGCTTCATGATAGTCCACCCCAAAACTTGGGGGTTCAAACAAGAATGACTTACAATTTGTTATATTTCTGTAGGTTGGCCGGGTGGTCCTTCTGCTTTTCGTGGTGTCAGCTGGAGTCACTCACACAGCTGCATTCAGCTTGGAGCTCAGCTGGGTCTGAAACATACAAGCCAACCTCACTCACATGTTTAGGCTTCTCAGTTCTCTGGCACAGAATCCTGATCTCTGCACAAGATCTTGTGTCATTTCATTCACTGGCCTGAACTTCTTTTTATGATGGCTGGCTTCCAGAAAGACAAAAGCAAAAGCTGTCAGGCCTCAAAAGACCTACGTCAGGACCTGACACAGCATTGCCTCTGCCTCACTCTGTTGGCCAGAGAAACTTGCAGCCCAGCTCAGATTCAAGAAAAAGGGATAGAGATTCCACCTCATGATGGCAAGTGCAGCATGCACATACAGGGTGGGAGGAATTCTTGGAAGCCTCTATCCGGCAAATCCTCCACAGCCTGCCTTCTCACTCCAGCAATTCATGCCCTTCTTATGTGGAAAATATATTTTGCCTCTTTTCAAGACATCCAAAATTTTCATCCCATTATGACTTCAAATCAAAGTTCAATAATCTGTATTGGGCTGAGATGTGGCTGTGGCACCTCTTGGGCTAAAGAACTGTGAGCTGAAAATACAAGGTAAACTCCACTATATCCAACATATAATTGTGATATAATGCTGATATAAGCACAGAATAGTTGCAGTAAACATTGGGATATAAAAAGGCGAAGACCAGGAAGTTCATCACAGTTACTGGCCCATAACAATTCTAAAATCAAGCAAGGCACTCATTCACTGCGCATTAAGCTTTCCTGGGAGCAGAGAATTTTCTGTGATGAGCGTCAAGCTCTGCTTCTGTGAGGTTCTTGATTCAAGCCAGGGATCTGGCAGGCAGACCTTCCTCCACGGCTGCAGCTCTCCCCTTGGCTCCAAACATTATCTCTTCCCACTTTTGCTTTAACTGTTATTTTCCACTTTTGGTTGATTTCACCTTCCTGGCTCTTTGCTATGTCCTCAGATTCATTCTTCCTTTTTCATAAGAAACGGCCCATGTTTGCAGCTGAATAACTTTTTCAGCTTGCTTTTTTTTTTCCCCATTGAAAGCTTGGGACTCAAATGCTTCTTTTCACTTTGAACTTCCTTATTCCTTTATTCAATGGTAGTTCTCTCATCAGGACAATTCTCTTTAAAATATCGTGTGCCATCCATTGACCTCACTGAGGTTCACTCTGTGCTCCATGCCCTAGCATAATTCTTTCAGCAACTAACCGCCCACAACTTTGTGTGTGTAAAGCAACCTCCTTATGATTTCCAGTAGTTCTTTTGTCTGACTTGGAAGGTCTAGGAAGCATTGCCTTCAGTCTTCTAGAATTCTTAAGAAGGTGTCCTTCAGCCACAGCCTTGATTTGATCTTTACTCGAAGGCCCATATTTTGCCAATCTTTGACACCTGGAAAACTACGCTGGGGGCCCTTTTATTTTCTCTAAATTTATCTTGGAAACTGGTCAATTCTTTGGCTCCTCTTTCCTTTGCAATGCCTCAACATATACTATTAAAAGAAGCCACTTGGCATTTTCAATTTTACCCAGCCTTAACCAAGTTCACAACGTATTCGCTTAGCTCACCGTTCTCCAAGCCTCTCCTCTTTACTCTCAGTCTTAGCTTTTTTCTGTTGCTATAAAGGAATACCTGAGGCTGGGTAATTTACAAAGAAAAAAGGCTTATTTGGCTCATGGTTCTGCAGGATATACAAGAAGCATGGCCCCAGCATCTGCTTCTGCTGAGAGGCTCAGGCTGCTTCCACTCATGGTAGAAGGTGAAAGGGAGTTGGTGTGTGCAGAGATTGCATGGCAAGAGAAGCAGCAAGGGTTGGGGGAGGTGCCAGGCTCTTTCTAACAACAAGTTCTCTCGGAAACTAATGATGAGAACTCACTCACTACCAGGAGAATGACAGCAGGTCATTCATGGAGCACCCACCCCTATGAACCAAACACCTCCTACCAGGCCCCACCTCTAACGCTGGAAATCAAATGTCAACATGAGGCATGGTGGGGCCAAATAAACCATACCCAGACCATAGCACCCCTAACCTGCCTTATGATCCACCCCCTAACCTGCCTTATGATCCACCCCCTAACCTGCCATATGATCCAACCCTAACCTGCCATATGATCCACCCCTAACCTGCCATATGATCCACCCCCTAACCTGCCTTATGATCCACCCCCTAACCTGCCATATGATCCACCCC